GAAGAGGTAGAAGAAATGCTTGGTCCAACAGCTACGGGGCCAAATTGAGATAAATTTTCTTGATCATGACTGGTAGTAAATGGTGGTTGCGAAAATGAGGTCTAGAAAAAAGAAAAAAAAATTAATTTTTTCATATATCGTATATATAATTTATTAAAATAATGTAAAGTTAATTATGTATTTTACTGCTTCATTATATTTCGATGTTGCTTCATTTAACGTCAAAGAATCCATGTAATAAATGTGTAGCCAAATATGGCTGCTGTTGCAACGATAAGTTATTTGTGAAATTGTTAGGACGGATGGCCGGAGGCAATGTTTCATTAGTCAAAGCTTCAAACGCCAAATTCTTGGGTGCTAAGTTTTTCGCCTTTTTTTTGTTTGGAGCCATAATGATAATCAACTGAAAGATAGAAAGAGGTAGCTCAAGCATCAATCGCAATCTTTATTTCAATTGATTGTAGTGCTTGAGCGTCATCTCGATCACTAGCCAATTAAATTGAGGGAGGCGCTTGAGAACGGCCTCAATCACCTAAATTAAATAAAGATATGGCTAGTAAACAACGTTTAAAATCTAGATATGGAATCTGCGGAACGCAGATTGAAAATTCGATCCACAATAAAAATTTGGATTTTACGGATTTTTTTATCATGTACGCATCCTTTTGTTGAATTTTTATTATGTTTACAAGAATTGATAAGTTTTTCCGCATATTAAAATAAAATTGAATTTTAAACACTTCTAGTAGCATAAAAATATCTAGTAGAATAGATACATGAAAAAAGTTACGTAGATAGTGTGGCCGGGAAACCAAATGACAGTATTATCTAACAGTTCACGAAAATTAGGCTTAATAAATGACAAATGACCAAAGATATTTGGTAAATGTTATAATAGCAATCGCAGGCTAAAGATATTTTTATTATCAGCGTATCTAAATTACTTAAACCAGTTTTTATATGTTCATGTGTTTTTAATGTCCAAATTTCTCACTGGACGGCCTAAGAGATAACTGTTAGAATTTATAATATCATTACTGCATCATTTGATTTAATTTACTTAAGTAAATATTAAGATCCATTATAAATAGCTAATCGAATAATCGAATTTACACGTCCGTAATCGTACTGGCCATGCGCAACGTCACGCGCTGCGCAGCTGCCCTTATATAATAGCACAGTCCTTTTAGTAGTCGATTCAGTAAGATAAAAAAAACATATAATATTCAAACTTCTACGTAGCAACATTTATTATTGTAAATATGTGTCACTTTGCGACACTTATCTACTTGTATTCACAAAAGAGTGAATGCACACAATAATAAGATGAGTTAAATTTTAAGTTAATGTACAGTACCTCAGAAAATATATCACGGTTACATGAAAAAATAACAAATTTTCTAAACAAGTAAATTTATTGCTTAGCAAATTAATAATAAATATCGATATACCAATTCAGCAATATATCATTACAATGCATATATTGAACATAATGCATCAGTATTTGCAGCCATAACCTCCATTAGAAATAACTTCAGCAGTATGATTTGGAATACTGTTGATTAAATTCATGAAAATCGATGCATCTAACCTTTCCTATTCCTCTAAAGGCGTTGTCTTCAATTTTTCATATATTCTTGGGGTGGTCTTCGTTGCTACATTCTAGTATATTCCATATGTGCTTTTTTGTGTAATCATGATGAGGTACTGTACATTTAAATAATAATTAAACATTGAATATTATACTATAATTTTGTATTTCATAATGTTTTTATGTCTTAGTTAAATTAATTGTTTATGATTTTCTTCCAATTCCCTCTCTTCAATCATAACTAAATTAGGTATAACAAGACCAAACCTGGTCATCACAAAAATTGTGAAGCCAGTAGACAAAATATCGGCAAAACTATGTGTTTTTAAATTTAAATTGGTTTTATTGCTTAGACGTACTAAGCGATAAATACTCATTGTAGTTAATTGTAATATGTCAAATCCGAATAAAATTGCTTGGTAGATAATCTCTCTTTTTTCCTGCACACTTTCCATCTTATTATATTCCAAAATCCTATCAAAAAGATAATAATAAAATATAGACTCTGAAATAATATAATAGAGTCTAAAAATATGCACAATTATTTCTCGTATGTTCATCATAACTGGAATTATCAGACATTCTGGGTGATCGGGATTGCAATATGTGCCCATGCATTTTACAGAATCGAAAACGCTAATGGCTGCTAAAAGAAATAACTCCACAATGCGTATAATAATAATGGTCCAGTGAAAGCGTTTTAAACACTTTGTTTTATATAGATCACAAACAGATTTACATCTTTCATATGCCAAATGCAGCAGAATAGTTTTGGTTATTATGTAAAAAACCGTTCTAAAGATTTCTGCCTTGTAACATGATGTCATGTAATGATTATCTGAACAAGAACTAGGACAAATAGGTCTTGCTATGTAAAACCAATTTGAGCAATTTTGACCAAAACTGTTCGGATCATAACAAGATAACAGCGACATTACCATAAAGGGCGCAGCAAATTCGACGATAAGAGCTGATAAATTCATAAGACAAAAGAGCCATATCTTATCTCTTATTGTATCCCTAAAGTGTCTACTACTAGCATACGAAAAAAAGATTCGAATGTAAGAACAAGGGCCGCACCAATGAATAATGACCAGATAACGATTAATTCTACTGATTCCATTGGATTGATTATAATTACTATATACTGCTTAAAATGCCAACAAACGATAATTAGGATAATAGAAATGAGCAAATACAATGAAATGAATTTATACTCTTTCTGTGTTAATAAGTTTTAAATAGCACGTACGCACTAGAAGCATTTGCGAATTCTAGATGAATTGGTGGAAATTGATCTCCGGTTTGTTTGTAAATTACAATTTGGTTTCGTGATAATAATAATGCTACATAAAGCGTCACAAAAATTAGCCCCATAAATCCTATTAAATTTTATAATTTCGGACTGATATGTTTCATTTTTTATACGTATATCGATGCTGAAATTAACTTGCCAAAATAAGGTAAATAAAGAGATTAGCCATTTTATTAAAATAGTAATGCACTATGTATGTACGTACATGCAAACTAAAATTTTAAATTGGATAATATAAAACTTGTAAATTATAAAATTTATAAGACACCATTTTAATTCTTTTCGTGTTAAGACTGTTCCTGTTAAGCTGTTTATAGGTAAAATTGCAACTTTCAATGAATTCCTTCATTGCAAACACGTTTTTTGTTTTCGTATGTCTGTACTAATTTGTATACTACTTTTATTTGATTGTAGGTATCACAATGCATAAAAATAAAACAAATGAATGCATAAATGAATGCATGTTTAAAGTGGATATATTAATTCCGGAATTGCTCTTTAAATTTCTTTGACAATTCCATATTAATAAAGATCTTTTTTAAGTTTCATTGATAATTACGTACTATAGAAATTTCATTGAAAGATCCTTTAAATTTCTTTGACAATTTCTAAATTAGTGAGCAAAAATCTTTTTTTAAATGAATACAACTTCATTTATTTTAATAATGCATTATACAGAAAATCGGCGAAGAAACATTGGCACCATATATTTTAACCAATAATTTTGCTCTATGAGTCCCACTCCCCACATTTGTCTTATTATTGACGTTAAAGATATCATTTACCTTCCGTGTTTGCACTGTCATAGTCGCGTCAATCTTACCTAAATCGTATATAATCTTGAGGTAACCTTGTAAACGTTGTTTCCGTATACACGCTACTATTGTGCGTATACATGACATTTGTAACTTGTGAGTCGAGATTTCAGCACTAGAAGCATTTGCAGAAATTGTAGAAGCATTCTCCGGTTTATTATAAATTATGCGGTGTACACGAATTAAGCTTCGTGATAATACTAATAAGCGTCACAAAAATAATTTTATAAATAATATTAAATCTTGAGTTGATATGATTTGCTAAAATAGGGTAAGCAAAGAGATTAGTCATTTTATTAAAATAGTAATCCACAATATAAAATTAGTACGTAAGTGCATACGTACATACTAAAATTTTCGGTTCAGCTCACTTCACCGACGCACTTCTGAAATCTGTGCCAGGTTATGCATGATCTACAAATCAGATTTCGAGGATCAGGTGTAACGTAGCACGATCAAAACAAACGTTCGTTTTGTCAAAAATCCTTCTTTCTCAAAAATCTGCATAATAAACTACTTTTAGTGCTCTAACAAAAAGTTTTTCTTGCGCGATTTTACTATACACCCACGCAGTTTTAACATTATATGAAACGCCCTAACCCTAATATTAATGAACTTTAAAATTTTTAAAAATTTTACATTATGATCGGCAACATGCATAACCTGTGTTACGATCGGTTGAAACTTATTTCACCGACAAAATAATCCTGGTCATTGTAGTTAGGGTCAGATTAGATTAAGAGTTAAGGTTGGTGGAATTTATAAAAAAAAAATTTGAGCTTCGGTGAAATAAACTGTCGGTGAAATAAACTTGTCTACGAAATAATTGTCGGTGAAATGTTATGTCTACGAAACTAGCGTCGGTGAAGTGATACGTAGCCAAAATTTTAAACCGGGTAATACATGGTTTGTACATTATAAAATTTATAAGCAAACCTTTTTAATTATTTTCGTGTTAAGATAAGACTGTTTATAGGTAAAAATGTAACTTTTTAATGAAATTCATTCATTGTGAACACGTGTATATCTGTACTAATTGTGTACTACTTTACCTTGATAGTACATACGATTATGAATACATATTTAAAGTGGATATATTGATTCCGGAATTGCTCTTTAAGTTTCTTTGATAATTTCATATTATAGAATGATCTTTTTAAGTTTCATTTATAGTTTCGTATTATAGAAATTTCATTGAAAGATCTTTGTTTTTTTTTGATTGTTTTTATTATAGAAACTATATTAGAGGCCTTTTAAATTTCTTTAATAAATTTGTATTATGGAAACTATATTAAAAAATCGGTTTTTAAAAGAGTATGATTTCAGTTACTTTATCAATAAGCAGAAAATCGGCGAAGGAGCGTTTGGAATCGTATTTAAGTCAGAATGGAGCATTGGAGACCTTGTTGCTTTAAAACGTCTGAAAACCAATGCTAATTCAAAATATGAAGAGGCTTTTATTAATGAGGTATATAATATGATTGAATATTTATTGAATAATTCATCTCAATTTACCTAATCGCTAATTTTTATTCACATTGTGTAGATTGAGCTATTACATGATGTTTGCTATTATCAAAACATTATTAGTTTATACGGATTTACCAGAGGTAATCAAATATTTATCTTGGTGATATTATGTATATACACAATAATTATTAAATCTTTTATAAATATAAAACAGATCCTAGTTATGGACATATTTATATGATATTACAATACGCCAATAATGGAAATTTGCGTGAACACTTGAAAAAAAAATTTCTAAAGTTAGATTGGAAAGAAAAATTACATATTGGAAAAGAAATTGCAAATGGTCTTGCATTTTTACATCATCATGAAATTGTTCACAGAGATCTTGTAAGTGTTTGGAATTCTTTATTGCATGGTCGCGAAATAACGCTCAGGAACGTTACTTAAAAAATTTCAATCATTATATTTTGGTTAAAATAACTCATGCGCGTTCCGAAAATATATAGTGTATTTGATATACATATCAAGTTCGAAGTTATTTTACGACTATACGATAATAGCACATTAATTCAATTTATTTATGTTATGTCTGAAGTAAGAATGGATAAATAGCAAATTTTCAAATTTACTGTGCAGGCTGTGCAGCCTGAACACATTACCGATCTCGGGTTCCAGTGATTGGGTTTGGGCGATCTTGAGCTCGTTGGAATTGTCTTGTCGAGGCGATCATTTTGGTGGAAAAATCATCCAAATTGGATCACTGGATCAAGTTATTTGTTGTTAAAAAGATAGTGACCCCGAAAAAAATCCCGCCTATAATTTTGCTTCCGATTTTTTCAGTCTATCCCTAGTCTGAAGTTGCCAGTTGCAACTTCAAGTATTTAAATTAGATTTCAAATATCTTAAAAGTGCAATTTCAGACATAACAAATACACACACATGTGTATAAAAATTACTTAATATATTTTTTTATATTTAATTTATTTCTTTAAATGTAGCATTCTAAAAACGTCTTGGTTCACGACAATCATTTTATGATTTCTGACTTTGGTATAGCGAAACGCTCTGATGATACATCAAAAACACCAATGTCATTATATGGGATGACAGCATACATTGAACCTCAATGCAATAAAAACCCTAATTATAAACGTGACAAGAAATCTGATGTCTATAGCTTTGGAATTATTCTCTGGGAAATTTCTAGTGGTAAACCACCAAGAGTTTTACTTAATGGTCGAAGAGAAACTCCTATTAAAGGTTCCCCACATCAATATATAAAACTTTATACACAATGCTGGGATGAAAACCCTGACAAACGACCAAAAGGAAAAGAAGTCTTTGACGCACTTCAAACTTTATATGATGAATCGACAACAACTACTTCCTTGACAGCAACTACTTTCTTGGCGCCAACGTCATTGTCATTGTCATTACCTAATTCTACTTCTATTACCACCCATTCAATAAACTCAAGTGTTGTTAGGCATATGATTAATCAAAGTGAACCCATGATCTGCAGTCAGTGCGAAAAGTGCTATGTTAGCGGTCAAACACATACTTGCTTCGGACCTCAATCATATACTGATCTCCTAAATATTTATCCTATACTTATGAATAAAGAATATGAAGCTAAAATATCATCGTGGATTAGTGAGGTTGAAGTTCACAGAAATCCACAATATGAATTTATGTTAATCTTTAAAGCAAGTTTACATGGCTTTAAAGTGAAGGATTTTTATAAATTATGTAATAAAGAATGTGGCACCGTTCTCATATTGAAGGTCCGCCAAACTGGGGAAGTACTCGGAGGATATAATCCCCTTATATGGAAAAAATCCAGTACCAGAAAATATGCAACGACAGTCAAAAGCTTTATTTTTGGATTTTCCGGTACTGGATTTGTTTTTAGCAGAGTAAGCCATACGTGTACTAATAAAGCAATTTATTACGATGACTGCTCTGGTGCATCATTTGGTAAGAGGGATTTATCCCTCCAATCTAACATGATTGTACATAATAAGTGGTATTGCAAACAAAAAAATTATAGTGAACCAATCAGCTCAGTGAGTGGTTTTTTTACTGCTTACGATTATGAAATATATAAAGTTGTCAATATAAATTTTGAACGCTAAAATTTCTAGCTTACCCTTTATTTTAATCTATTTATGTAATCTATCTTTCTATTTAGTATTTTGATCGTTTTATCAAATTATCATTGGCACCATCAAATGACGTTATAAAATTAATTTTTTAATATTAATTCACAATTCTTTGACTAATAAAGAAATTATTATATCTATTAGCGACTTTGAATTCCATAATTAAATGCATAACTCCCATGTAATGCCAATTGTGTGATTATATAAAGGTTTTTATTATGATGTATAGCGATATGAATCGAAAATCGATTAATCGTTTAGTTGGCTGAGTTAGCAACTAATCGATTAATAATTTTAACCCAACTATTATTGCGGTTTACAAAATTTTGTAAATTTTGCAGATCAAGAAAAAAAAAATCGCACGATTTTTAAGCGATTTCTAGGTGATTTCTGCTTAAAACAACTCCGATACATAGATATGAAATTGTCATATCAGTGTTGTTTAAAAAATCAGAAATCATTGGCTAAAAATCGAGCGATTCCTTTTTTTCTTGATCTGCAAAATTTGCCATTTTGTATGACATTACGTTTCTGTACATAGGACGTGGCACAAAATGCCACCCTCTTTCCGTAATATCTGTATCATTTTTATATTATAAAACGTGCCTATACGTGCCGCATGCCTGTACCATTTCGTGCATTCTCGAAACCAACTTGCGTAACATCCTGGACCACTATAGGGTCATTGTCACAAATTATCTGTTTATTTTTATGGGTATACATCTTTACTCCTATATATTTAGGATAATCTTTTAGCATTATAATTGACAGATCTACGCTATATAGTGCAACCGACAATTTTGCCCCATGTCTCTCACTTCTGTATTTGTCGAATTTTTTAACGTTAAATGTTTTCATTTTTGTCGATCACTTAATGCTTAATGAATTAAAATAATTTGTTATTTTTGAGTGCCCTAATTTCACTCACCACTTCTGATTGGCTGTACTAATTATTCATTTATCGGAGCCAATCCAATTTCACGATCAGGTGTAACGTAAAAG